CGCTTTGTTGGAGTTCTGGGTTAACCTTACGCTCATCATTTTCAAAAGGAAATAAAAATTAATTAATTGGAAATGATAAAAGGATATTAGAAAGCAATACGAGTACTATAGGGATATATTTGTCTACAATAGTTCAATTTATATGATGCAAAGTGACATTGAAAAGCTAACTCATTAGGAAACAACTTTTCTCAAGACACCAAAGCCTAAATTTGAGTTTTAGAATGTCAAAAATTAGGCTGAAGATAGACCAGCGAATCTGTCCAGAAAATTCAGCAACTTTTAAAAAAAATTCTAACCTATTTCTTCTGATATGTGTATGTGTGTGTGCGCGTATATATATATATATATATATATATATATATATATATATATATATATATATATATTCTTCCAAAGGGGGAAAGAATGGTGGAGGGACAAATTTAGGGCTTAGGAACTTCAATTTTAGAGATAAAATCTCACCAAGAAGTTAGCTTGAAGTTGAATCTCAAACATAACAAGCTTGGGAAGGAAGATATAAATTATTCGTGGATGACAAATCCATAAGTCGATCGTCTGATACGTAAGGTTTTATATTTTTTCTATCTTTTCTTCTTCTAATTGAGATGCTTATTTTGAACCTTCGTGATTTTTTCGCCATATGAGTAGCTAATTTTCTTTAAGAATTTAAATTATTGTGAAGTTTATCATACTAACTTGTTCTTAAACTTTTGAGTTTATAATATTTCTATTTCTTTAAGTATATATGGTATGTGTAAAGTTTAATTAGTTATTACATAGAACCCTAGCAAAGCTGTATGGGATTCTTATTTGTTAATTGCACACGAGGAAGGGCCAGTCAAAAGACCCAGGTGGTGGAACGAACCTGCTAAAACAAACAAGAAAGCAAAAGATAAAAAGAATGATGGGTGGATAAGCCCCAAGAGTAAGGAGAGAGAACCTTAGAGTTGAGATGCTAATCCCAAGGAGGCCCCCAAGGTTTCTCCCATTGATGCCCCACACACCGATACTTCTAACTCCATTTATAGTATGACCAAGTGAGGTGTTGTCCTATGTTGAAGAATGCAAGATGGTATGGTTACCCCCACCACTCCTCACAAAACTCCCTAGTGTACAAATTCTAATATGATTGATTCCATAAGCAACATGGTCAAACATAGACGAGTGTCACATTGAAGCGGGAGATTAAACTACTCATACAATTTGGTGAGTTTAAAGATTTCATGGATTGGGACAAAGTGGCAGAGAAAAATGTTGAGGCGAGTAGGGAAAAGACAATGACCCAATCCTCACAGCAAGGGAGGGGGAAATGATGGACAAGCACAAGTCTCGATTGACATAAACAAAAAGTTAGTAAAGAAACCTATGTATTCTTTGGTGAGTGGACCATACCACAAAGAATACGTGTAGAGATGGTGTGTATGTGGGGGCCATTGGTGACCCAACCAAGCTAACTATACAACGAATAGAGCCTATTATGTTCACCAACGAAGATTTATGCATAGGAAGGGCTGCCCGGCAAGATGCATTGGTTTTCTCTATAGACATCAACGATATGATTGTAAGGGGGTTGAGGTGTAAATGTTTGAGGGATGGGGTCCAAAGTGGGACAAGGCGGAAAGTTAAGGAGGTAAGAGTGTAAAGACGGGATGAATAGGGTGAAAAGTGTAGAAAAGAAAGGGGCGAGGTGGATATTCAAGGGTTGAAGTACGATAAGGCATAAAGTATAGAGCGTCAAAGTGTAAAGACTAGGAAGGGGGAATGCTTCGGGCGTGACAAAGGGTATGTTTGCCCTCCACCTGGCTGACACCCTATCCACTGGTCATGGGTATGGTCGAGTGTGGCAAGTGGTTGTGTTTTGCATGAAAGACAAGGGGCACCTTTGAGCCCCGCCCAACCAAGTAGGGCAGCAGCTAGTGTCCCTTACCCGCCCGAGCACGGCAAGGGGCCTGTAAATACCCAAAAGAAAACATAAAAAATACTTGATTGTATATCAAATTCAAAGTATCGGTTACAATGAAGTATTAAATAGAAAGGGATACAATCTCTGGACATGAGACGTCCTTTAATTCTTTACTGAAGTATGTCGAATTGTCCTAGTTCCTTGCTGAAGAACCTCCGGAGTTAAGTAGCTTGTTCTTCAATGAAAGACTTATATGTTGCTTGATCGTCAAAGAAGGGCTCCTGGTTCTCAAATGGCACGATCCTCAGCATGGGTGTATGTGGGTGTATGTTTGATGCGTTCCAGATGATATCTTGCTAGATTTTGACCGTGTTTCGGTATACCGTCTGAGAGCTCCTTTCCCCCAAATTGAAACCACTATTTATAGTGGTGAAGGTAGGATAGCTCTAACAACTTCTATCTTTTAAGATAATTTTTGAATTAAATATAAATAAATTTATTTAATTATGAAGAATGCATCGTGAGTCGTGATACCATCACGTCCAAGTTCATGATTTCATCCTATCTTCAAATCAATTTAGATTATCCAAATTTTATAAAATTATATGGTCCACATATATTCGGCAAATTATATTGTGGACCGCGGTCCAATGCATTGTGGTCCAGCATCAAATATGCACTACAATTTCATTTCAACACAACTACAGTATCATTTTGATATAACTATAGTTTCGTTGGACAATATACATATGATTCAAATATGTGAAATTGTTATTCAGTTTCATTTTATATACACTGTAGTTTCATTTCAACACAAGTACAGTTTCATTTCAATTCAATTGTAATTTCATTTGATAATATAATAAAAATAATACTTGAGACAGTGTCAGTTTAGATACACTATAATGTCTATCGTTTTGGACCATGGTCCACAGTATAATTGCTGCATATATTCTTGATGGGCCAAAACCAAGTCAAATTCGCCAATTAGACAGTCCAATTAATCCAAATAACTTGGTCCAACCCAATTAAATATTCCATCAATTTAGGTAGAACAATCCAACACCCAACTACTCTTAATTAAGTAATTAGAGCAATTAATTATTTATTTGGTCATTATAATGAACCCAATTAAATAAGTCTTAGTCCAATTAATGAAATTAAAGTAATTAGTTATCAACCAAGGCCTAATAGCACACAAATCAGTCCATTAAACTTTCAATGCCTACAAGGCCACCGATGTTGAATGGGGTACAGTCCATTGGCGGTCATATGGGCTTGTTTTGTGACGTGGTGGGAGGTTGGTGGCCTTGTGGAAGATTTTATCAATTGGCAATGGCATATGTGTGGATGGGATTTCTTGGGCATTCTGGTCCAATTGTTCACCAAAGTTTTTGGCCTAAAACACTCCAAATTATTAAATTATAGACACTTTTCGATCTTTGGGTACATTTTCTAGCGAAACTCTGTTTTAGGCAATTTATATCTACACCACGGCGCGCGTTGTACTGTGCGGCCAGATGTAAAACGACGTCGTTTTAATTTTTTTTTTTTTGAAATTTTCCGTCCCAGTGAATGGCAGTAATTTTTTCTTTAAAAAAAATCCATTGTTCAAAAATGTACATAATGTTATACTAGAATACACATAATTGTATACATGAATGTACATAATTATATAACAAAATATACATACTCTTTTTAAAAGATAATACACATAATCTAACATAATACATAATAAACATAAACTTTTAATATAATACACATCAACTCTTAACATAATACACACAAATTTTCTGATTCGGATGTACATAATTGTATAAAAAGAATGTACATAATTGTATAAAAAATATACATAACTGTATGAACAAATACACATAATTGTGTGAAAAATACATATAATTGTGTGAAAAAATACACATAATCACAGCAACTTCCTACCGCGCCTCCCAAAACGACGTTGTTTTGGGAGGCGCGCGGCGCACAGTGCTACGCGCGCCGTGGTTTAGGGTATAATGATTGTCTGTTTTAAGCAATGGTAACCTAGTCTCATCACTTTTCTTCTTTAAAAAAAAAAAAAAAAATCTTTTCCAATTTTATTCATATCTTTCCCCATGCAACATGCAACATGCAACATATGTATTTTAAATTTCACAAGTGTGTTATTTTTCTTTATACTCTATAACTAATTAGATTTAATTTCAAAAATTTTGCATTGAGTATTTATCTGACTTTCAATTGGGCTATAAATAGTCACTTAACTAATCACATTTATCAATTTTCATCATTGACTTTCAATTTGACGATAAATGGTTCCGGTCTCCTGGCTATTGATTTTAATTTGTTCCAAATTTGTTGTCCTCTGGTTAAATATTCATTTAATAAACATTAAATTTAAGGGTAATAATATAAAATTGGCTTGTTGTCTAGATCGGCAAATTGAGTTTATAAACTTTTTTTTGAAAACCAAGACCATAAACCTAATACATTGGGTTCATATTAGTGGGAATGTGAAGAACCAAAATTTTACATTATTACCCTTAAATTTAATGTTTACTAAATTTATATTTAACTGAATGGTTAAACTTGGAACAAAATCAATAGTCAATGAACTCATTTATGATCAAATTGAAAGTCGAGGATGAAAATTGGTAAATATGAATAGCTAATGGACCATTTATGACTCAATTGAACGTCGAGGATAAAATTTGATAAATGTTAATAGTCAATTGACTATTTCTGGAATTAACTCTAAATAATTATGTTTTTAAAAATTGTGAATTCATATACTTGTTAATGAGAGACAAGCTAGTAAAGTTGGTGAATGTTGATTGTCAATACTTAGCTTCCTCTATGACTAATTCTGTTTTTTAATTGCGATGTTATATATTTATTCATGAGAGACAGGTAAAGTTGGTGAATGTTGATTATCGATACTTACCTTCCTCTTCTAGAATAGATTATAGATGCTAATTTAATATATTGCATTTATTTTGATCATGTGACTTTAGATGAAATTTTTTATGTTTTATTGTTAATAATTAACATAAAAAGACAAAACATATCTTTGTTTTTTTTTTTTTTTCTTTTGGATGTCAAACAATGAGAAAAGTGCTATTGATCAAGTAAAATAATACAAGACTTGTATACCCAGGATTGTATATTTCTAAGTATATAACTTTGATCTAAGACCAATAAAAATAAACGTACTTTCTTTTAATCCATGATTTGTGCTTATAGTAAGCTTTGGTCACGTTGGATCTAATAGTAACTAAATGAAAATATTACATATGAATTGGATTCTCATCTTGGGTTGGAATTGGAAGGTGACCGTTTTCTTGGAGGCTCTTAACTGTCTCATACAAGCATTGTTTCACGGGCTTAAATTCCAGTCCTAAATTCTTAATCTTCTGGTTAGTAAATTTGTACGGAATTACCTTGGGTTTCCCTTCGTCTTTGCACCTAAACACCACATCAAAAATATTACATCATTAACAAATCCTCACAAATTTTAAAAACAAATTCATAAAGAATAATATAATGTAACGTAACATACTTGGTAGGAATAGGATATTCGGGAAAAAATTTAGTCAAAATTTCAACCACTTGACTACGGTGAAGGATGGTGTCAGCGCAGATATAACGACCGGAGGCAGAAGGGGTCTCGTAGAGAAGGATGAGAGCTAGGGCTACATCCCTAACATGGACATAGCCTTGGACTGCATTGGTATAAGTTTTGACAGAGCCAGTCAAATACTTGAGAATGTGAACGACACTAGCGTTGACTGTGGGTTGTAGCAATGGTCCGACCACCAACATTGGGTTGAGCACGACTAGGTCTATTCCTTTCTCCTTTGCCACTTCCCATGCTATTTGCTCTGCCACGGTTTTCCCATAGCAATACCAATTCTACAAATGCATATATATAAATTAATTTGAAATGAATTTATTCTGAACTAAATAGTAGCTAGCCTATAACCAGTTTAGTTGGGGTGAGTGATCGTGCACTCTCATCCTTTAAGAGAGGTCAGGAGTTCAAACCCCCCTCGTATGAAAAAACTAATCTGACTAGCGGTCCAGTGCGAATGATGATATGACGATTAATTGGTTCCTCCTCCTACAGTTAAGGTCTGTCCAAAACACCTAACGTATAGTACGTACCTGGGTGTTCTTGCAGAAGTCAAGGTCGCTCCAGCAAGTCTCATCCACAACCTTGTTTGGCTCTCTGTTAGGATCCATGTACACCGCACCGATCGAAGATGTGAACACCACTCGGCGAATTCCGGCCGCCGCCGCCGCCGTTATCACGTTCTTCGTCCCTATCACCGCTGACTCCACCATTTGCTGCTCCCACATTTCATATCAATTTTAGTTATAATAAAGAAAATGAAATTTTAATTCTTCTTTAATTTATAAACAACAAATTAAAGATGACCTCCACAATCTATAAACTAGTTCTATTATGATTATTAATTTTTAAAAACCTGTTTTTCTTTTCTTCTTGTTGTAACGGGTCAAAATTATACTTACAATCACTACTCAAAAGTGGTAAATATCCCGCTTTTTGATTCTAGTCAAGTTGGTAAGGCACAAATATAGTAACTATACATTTTCAAATTGAACTCTTAATAGAAGCAACTTATTAATTTTTTTTTTATTTGAATTAATCAGCTATAAACAATCTATCTTGGACGAGTTGGACCAGCGCATTAGTTTTTCCCTTTTTCTCTTAGCTTTGACAAATAGATACAAATAGTATTTGTAAGCTAGAATATATACTCCCCAAAATATAACTTGGTCAACCCATAGTCACTTGCAGGTTTCTTCTCGATTATTTTCACAACAAATTAAAATATAATTATGAACACATGATATATATGATCCCAATAAAATAAAAGAAACAACGTAACTCAAGCAAGCTAAGTAATCAATCAAAGAACATTACAAATTAAATAAATTAAATAAAAAATGGACGTACAGGATCATCGGTAACTGGTGATGCAGTGTGGAAAACGCCATCGCAGCCGTCGATAGCTTCATGCAAACTCTTATAATCAAGGAGATCAGCTTTGCAAAGTGTCAGCCTCTCCTTTGCTCCTTCAAGCTCCATCAAATGAACATTCTTTTGATCATCTACAATTAATCATAAATGAAGACAACATTAATTACATTATTACTTAGTATTCGATCTTTCTAATTAGATCAGAAGGTAATGAATAAATTAAAAACCTGGATTTCTAACGGTTCCTCTGACGGTGTAGCCTTTCTCCAGGAGGAGTTTGAGGAGCCAGGAGGCAATGAAACCTCCGGCGCCGGTGACGCATACAACTCGGCCAGAAACCGACGGCATATTTGTCGTCGTGAGCGTTTGTTAATTACTTGTAAGTATGGAAATGAGAAAAGAGATAGATGGAGTACAACGACCCCATGCAAGGGGGTACGGTATTTATAGGAAGTCGATTCACCTACCACGAAAGTTGGCAGCTCTATTCGAGGAAAGGAAAATTGTATAAAAATGGAAAGTAGTTTTTTTTTTTTTTTTTTCAACCAAAAAAAAAAATGGGAAGTAGTTGAGAATGAATTTTCTTTGGTGATATGCAATCATGATTCTCAATTTTTCTTTCAAAAATAAGTTTACTACCAAGTATTATATTGATCGAAAAAAATGTCAAGTAGGCCCTCGAACATTACCTAAGAAGTCAAATAGAGCCCTAAACTTTTTAAAGTAGCATCTAAACTCATCAACTCTATATTTTGGTGCAATGAAATCCAAAAACCAGTTAGTGACTTGCTATCAAAGGTCACTAGGGTTCCGACAAACATCCGTCAATATTTTCGACGATAAAAACGACCGACGATCAGCGAACTGGTGCCGGTCTCCATGGAAACTGAGAAAGAAGGCGATCTTAGCTTGGTCGCCTTCTCACTATGAAGGCGACCCAGTGGTCACTTTCTCTGGTGTTCTCCGAAGAATGGCGACCAAGGTTGCCTTCTTTCTAGGTTTCTATGGCGACTAGTGCAGGTTCGTCGGTCGCCGATCGTTTTTGTCGTCAGAATTGAAATACCATTGAAGGTTATCGGAACTCTGATGACATGTGATAACAAGTCACTAATTGATGTTTAGATTTTATTGCACCAAAATACAATGTTGATAGGTTTAATTGTTACTTTAAAAAATTTAAGAGCCTACTTGACTTCTTAAGTTATTTGAGAGCCTATTTGACCCTTTTTCCATATATATTTTACATTAATGAAATTTTATTCCCATTTTCAAAACTCAAAATTAAAGTATACACATTTTCTATTATAATAATAGTAGTAGTAGTAATTAAAATAGACACACTTCACTTTCTAGTAGTAGTACGTAGTAATTAAAGTAGACACACTTCACTTTCTAGTAGTAGTAGTAAATTAATAGATATAAGAAATATAAGAAATTTTACATATGTATTGTTTTAAAATTTTAATATTCTTGTTGTAGTATGAAATTTTTGCCCTATGATTTATTAATTTACAAGTAATTTATTAAACTTATTAAACTCTTAATTATTCGTTATTAGCAATGATATATTAGAATTTCTTTTTAAAAAAATCACATAAAAACTTAAATAATGAACCGAACATCTTAATTAATTTTCAAGAAAATTTAATTCTTATGTTTCTAGAACACCAAACATGTTAATTAATTTTCCTACAATATTATTTTTATCAAATACATATTTCCCTAAAAAAATAATTAATGAAAAATAACAACCTGCCAGCTCAGCAAAATCGCCTATTAAAATTGATCGACCAAGAACTGTGAATTTCCGTTGTGGTCATGAGACATGACCCAATGAATTATAAGTTCTCCAAAAATATTTTTGATTTATTAATAAGTAACTAATAAAAACCAATTGATAATCGCCCGAGCGATTATGTACGTTTCCCTCAACATGTAAGTTAGAGATTTGGATCCACAACTCGGTGGGATTTTCGCGGCCAGAAAAAATTATAATTAGTTTAATAATGATTGAGTGACATTGTTTTTTCAGTTCGAATCGAAGAATTCCTTAGATATAATGCACAATGGATCTTGTTCTATTCTTGATCATATATTTTTTTATGAAAAATACGAATCGGAGTTTGAATAAGGCGCTCTTGACCCTAGCTACCCTTGACCCGCAACCGATAGATGAGGATTTATTCAATCAGATAGTTTGGGCTCCTAGAATATGGCGCCCTTGGGGCTTTCTTTGTATCGAAAGGCCCAATGAATTGAGATTTTCCTATTGATCTAGGTCATTTAGGGGCAAGCGGATCTTTTATGATAAAGATGATGAGCTTCAAGAGAATGATTCAGAGTTCTTGCAGATTGGAAACATGCAATACAAGACATGAGATAGATCTTCCAAAGAACAAGGTTTTTTTTTTTTTTTTCGAATAAGCCAATTCATTTGGGACCCTGCAGATCCACTCTTTTTCCTATTTAAAGATCAGTCCCCTTAGCTCTGTGTTTTCACGTCGAGAATTATTTTCAGATGAAGAGATGTCAAAGGGGCTTCTTGGAAACGATTTATTAGCATTCTTAGTTTGAACTGGTGAGTTATGAAAAATCTAGACTGATTTATCTTCTTGTGGTCCTTTGTCGACTAGAGTCACAAAGTCATGTTCACCTAGTGCAGTACACCCTTGAGTTGTAGCTGGGGATTTTCCTCGTCACTAAAAAAAAAAAAAAAAAAAAAAAAAAAAAAAAAAAGAAGAGAGATTTAGATCGAGTCTCAAAAGTCAAGTAGATGGAGCATGATTTTTGTTCTATAAATTATGGATTCAATTCTTGTCAATATTCTATTAGTTGAGTTCGTCTCACAGGTTTTTTCTAATACAATTTACCCCTTTTGTGGTTTGCGAATTTATGAGTTATTACATAGAACAAAATTTACCCAGTGTACATCTTTAATTAATGACTACGAGTTTGTGATTTGTGAATGCAAATTATATGTCTGCATGGGCAGCTCCGGATCATAGATGTGAAGTTTGGAAAGTATAACCAGGGATCATATCGAGTCTGTGGTTCATGTTCAATTGATTTACATCATCTCATATGTTCTGTGGGGTTCAACCTTTTCAAAAGTGAATGCAAATTATATTTATTTCTTCTCTCTGTTTTGCGCGTGTGTGTGTTAAAATGTGAAATATGAATTTGACTCTTATATCTTTTATTTCCTCTCTTTTTTTTTTTTTTGAAAACATTTCCCTCTCATTTCTTTTTCTCAACATTACAACTTTATAATATGCTAAGTTTATTCATTTTTTTTAAAAAAGAAATTATCAAATTATTTACTATTTGTTAATTTAACAAATCTTTTATTTAGTCATGCCACATAAGTCATTGATTTATTACCTACAAAAAAAAAAATTAACCTAAATTTTTTTTAAAAATATTATTTATCCAAGTACTCTTTGACACCTAAAAATCTAGGGGTACTTAGTAAAATGGAAATTTTGCTATTTTTCTAAAGAAAAAAAATGCTCTTTATCAGTCTTTTTCATTTTAAAAAATTCTACGATTTTTTCAACTCAATAAAGAAATTTAGAAATTTGATTTTTTTTTTTTTTTTTGAAAATCTGTGTTGGCATCAACTATTATTTTTTTGTTGAAATTATTGTCATAAAAAAAGAACACAAACATATATAGGGTGAGTTCCGACAAGAACAACCTCATCTGTAAAAAGTGAGAACCCATTTGAACCACTCAATTTATCAATTGTTGAATGTTAAAAAAAAAAAAAAAGCAATTTTATAAGAATGGTAAAATTTCAAATTTGTAATATTTATAAACCTAACACTACCTCGCCTTTTCCCTTATTTTTTAGCAATTCACAACCGTTGATGGATGAATTAAATCGGTTCTCTCTTCTTCTTTTTTTTTTTTTTTCTTCTTTTTTTTTTCTTTTCTTTTTTAGTTAAGAGCAAGTTCTTACCTGAACCCTCCCATGTAAATGTGTGTGTGATCCTGTGAAAATATATGGTGCATATATAGTGTGAGGAATGAAAATAAATCTCGTTTGTTTATTGCCAAAAACATATGGATCACATCTATTCTCAATTTTTTTATAAAAAGATGCATGGTTACATTTGTGTAAATATATAAAAATTTGAATGAATAAAAGATGTGAAATTTTTTTAGTACTACTAACCCTGTTATAATGCAACATATTAAAGCACAAAGAGTCAACACCGACTCCACTGAGACTCAAACCTATAATCTCTTATATGGAAGTGCAACTTGATGTCATTTAGACCACGATGTGAACTTATTCTAAACTGTGTATTTAGCCTTTTTTATATATCCAAACATATGTAAACCAAATTAATGTGTTTGACTAGGCGCATTTAATTAGCTAGTCTAAAACAATGCACAACAAGGCATGCACAACTTTTCCAAACAATTTGTGTTCAAGTATCCATGCATATTTAGTATTTTTCTCTTGAATGATGAAGTTTTTCTTCTTTTTTTTTTTTCAAAATGATGCAAGTTTTTTTTTTTTTTTTTTTTTTTTCCAAAACGATTTGTAGAAAGACTTTTTATATTTACAAAAATTTTATTGCATTTTTCATCTAAGTCCTTTTTTTTGGTGAGTCGGTGACAAAGAAAACTCGTAGTCACTACCCGATAGTGTACACTAGGTAAACTCCAAAACATTTGCATAATAGCGTGCAAATTACACAAAAGAAGTAAACCGTACTAAGAAGACCTTATGCAATGGGTTCGACCGTAAGGGTGTTGGCAAGAATCGTGTCATTTAAGCTTATTTGATTGGAGAAAGACTTTGAACGTGTTACATACTAATTTTTTTTTTATTATTATTATAGGAAAAATAATTAGTCTCTAAGTCATAAAGTGTAAGCTTAATTGCTAGTTATCATGTGTTGCAAATTTGATCCTTAATTAGTTACAATAGTAGCCATTTTCGTCATTTGAGACATATCAAGGACTACAAATGCAACTATTACAACTTTGATAAATTGTTTGTGATCTTATCACTAAACTTACACTTACATTTTAACTTAAAGGATCAAAAGTGTTTTTTTTTTTTATTAAATTATTTCATCACTACAAGATTGTTTTTTTAATTCGTGTTAAGATAGTCAAAATTTATAAATAATATATACATATATATATATATATATATATATATATATATATATATATATATAATGTTATATTATATTATCTATCTCATAAGGTAATAAATATCAATTTTCTTTTAAATGTAGAATGCTGTACACCTGTACTTGTGTGAATATAATGTGCTTGATTCAATTCTTGGCGGTCAATCTAAATTGGCCAATAAGTTGGACTAATAGTACCATTAAGATATTTAAACATTGGGAGAAGATATTTAAACATTAAAGG